CTGGGGACGAAGAATTATATATAATTCTTATTATATCATAGTATAACAACTAGAAAAGAGTGTTATTCAACATTTCTGGAAAGGAAAGTTAAACTTTTCTATTCTGCATATCCTTTACCAAGACAACATATGATAAGATAAATGGTAGATAGTCAATTATGGTTATTGACATACGGACATGTAACTGTTGATATTTATTCAAAATTCATATTTTTCTCCTTACTGTTGCATCCTCTTGCCTTCTTGAATAGAGTTATCAATGGAAATAGCCTGCCTATATGTGTGTGTAGTTTCCTGATTCCTATTACAGGCTCTGACAGAATAGGGGTCCGTAGCTCTGTAAGGCAGCTTGAAAAATAAGATTGCTGTCATGGAAATCGCTTTTGTGACAATCTAAGTGAAATCTTTCATTTTATTAACAAAGAAGCTGTAAAAATATAAGGGCAGTTCCATCATCAGACTTCATGTCTTCCAAATCACTGTATGTTTTCTGAAACTGGTTTTTAAGAAGCTTGCTGATTTTTATGTGAAGCATGAAAAGAGTAAGATATATCTCTATAATACACACACACACACACACACACACACACAATGTTTATATTGCTATTGTATTGAATTTGTATTACCATCTTTTAGACAGTAATTTAAAAAATTAGTTTGAAATTGATTCTTTCACTTTTATCTACAATTTTAATGAGTTTCTTTTGAAAAACTTGTGGTTTTAAAACCAAAATAGTTTTTCTAATTTCTGTAAACAGAGGAAATTTACTCTACTAGATCAATATACTGTGCAACTGTTATAAACAAAGCTGATATTCAGGATGCACCAAAAATAGAATATATCTAAGTGCTCTGCTGGTCTTCCAATGCATAGATGTGAGATAGAGCTGAAATTATTTTTGTATTTGTAGTACTGTTTATTATATTTCACTAATTCAAATTAGAATTATTTTTCCAAAGTTTCTCCAGTATATTGACAATTTAGGAAACTTTGGTGAATCACATTATTTCTCTTATTTCCCACTATTGTCCTTACAAAGTGGTGTAGCCTCTTTTTATGTTTACATTCCTCCTATTTACTAATGATATTTTAGTCTCTGATGTTTTCTTATCTCTTTTATCTAGTCTACAAAGACTAGCCTCTGTGTTCTTCCAGTTTGGCCTAGTTTGGAAAAACAAAAGAAAAGAAAAATAAATCTAAGATTAAGCTAAATTTATTTCCTTTCAGTCTCCCCACAAAATATGTTGCTACTGGGAAAACATCACTATTGCTTGATATAATTGGTGCTATATTTAGGACATATTTTAGGAGTTGCTTTGAAATTGTTTTCTGGTTTCAAGTCTGTGTCGTCTGCTAGTCAGTTGCCAGCTATTAAAGAATACGAACATGTCTTTAACTTTTTCTGTGTCTGCAAAGTGCTTGGGGCATATGTACATAAATGTTTGTTGTGTGACACAGCTTTACCCACAATTAACCACTTTCTCGACGTTTATTCACTATGTCCCTTTCCAGAATGCCTAGGAACTTTCAAGATGAGGTCAGGCATATGAGAGGCTTCAGATAAGACACTGCTGTGAGGCACTTTTACATGGACTCTGACCTCTGAAAATAAGAGCGATGCTGTAAACTCTCGGTGTCTTATAAACCTTTGAGATTTTGCATGAACCAGTTGTTAAATCGTTCCAGTGCACAAATCCAATCTTCCAGATCAGATTACTCATGGATAAAATGTCATATAATAACTACATGCTCTGGGGGGAAAAAGGTCTTATACCAGGTCCTTTATGCACACTAACAAGAGGCACAATTGTTTCTCCTTCTGAACTGAAGCATGAAATAGACTTGGATGAAGTTATGAAGTGCCAACAGTTTCAGGAGTTGTGAAAAGACTGGTAAAAAAAAGTGAAGTTTCTCAAAATTGCCCTCTACTTCAGAAAAATTGTCCTGAACACCTTAGCCAGAGAAACCGTCCATTGAATCTCCCTGTCATTCACTGTTTTATATGGCGTTTGGCACCTGTTGGCTTAAATAGTTCCTTCTTGATCTGCTAATTTCCCAAACCAAAGGGAACATTTCCAGAGGAAAGAAAAAATAAGCTATGTTTGGGGTGGGAATAAAGAAAGTTAGTTTGAGGCTAAACATGGAGCGTATTAAGCCCCAGGCAAGACATGCTAATTGGGTTGAGTTGGGGGTGGAGACATTAAGAGTCTTTGAGGGGGGAAACGACATATTCACAGCTGTGCTGTAGAAAAGTCGTCTGCCTATAAATGTCAATGTACTGAAAGCATGACAAGACTAAAAACAGGAAAAATTATTGAGGATTATTTATTGCCTGGTTGCTTCACTGGAATGCACATGTAAAAAAGATAAGGACCCCAAGTCTGTTTATCATGTTATACACAGNACATGACAATGTACTAAAAACAGGAAAAATTATTGAGGATTATTTATTGCCTGGTTGCTTCANGCATGACAAGACTAAAAACAGGAAAAATTATTGAGGATTATTTATTGCCTGGTTGCTTCACTGGAATGCACATGTAAAAAAGATAAGGACCCCAAGTCTGTTTATCATGTTATACACAGCTTCTCTAAGTTATACATAATAGGTGTTCAATAAGTGTTGGTTGAATGAGTTAATAAATAATTATAAACAAACAGAGACAGAAAATGCCTCTTATTGACTTAAACAACCTCCTGCATATGGGTCTTTGGCCCTGAGCTCAGATTTCCATACATAGTTTATTTCTGTAGGTAGTTTATTTCAATACAAATTATTTAATTAATGATGATGACAAGGAAAGAGGGATGAAGGAGAAAGGGCTACTATATATTCAGTATCGATTATACGTTAAGTACTGTATTAAGTACTTTACCCATACTCATTCTCCCCACCCAACCAGAGAAAACTAAGAGATTAAAATCCAAGTTGACTTCCTCTGACTAGTTTATTTCACTTAGCATAATACTCTCCAGGTTCATCCATGTTACAAAAGGTAAGATTTCCTTCTTTTTTACAACCGAGTGGTATTCCATTGTGTAAATGTCCCACAGCTGTTTCATCCACTCATCTACTGATAGGCACTTGGGCTGCTTCCAAATCTTGGCTGCTGTAAATAACACTGAAATGAACACAGACAAATACCATATGATTTCACTTATATGTGGAATCTAGTGAACAAAATAAACATACAAAATAGAAACAGACTCATAGATACAGAGAACAGACTGACAGATGTCAGAGGGGAGGGGAGCAGGGGGTTGGGTGAGAAAAGTGAAGGGAATAAGAAAAGAATAGACCCAGAAACAGTAGGGTAATTGCCAGAGGGAAAGGGGGTAGGGGGAAGGTAGAAGAGGGCAAGGGGAGATAAATGATGAGTGAAGGGGACCTGAGTTTGGGTGGTGAATGCACAATGAAATATACAGATGATGTATTATAGAATTGTATGCTTGAAACCTGTATAATTATACTGACCAATATCACCCCAATAAATTCAATTTTAGAAAACAACAAGTTTGAGCAACACTAACAAACAGGATAAGGCTTTGATCGGCAGTTGTGGCAGCCACTGTCATTGCCTGGCCCCTTACACTATCGGAGCTCCCAGCTGCATGCTGGCAGGTTTCTGGCTCAAGCGCCTTTCTATCTCTTCTAGGCCTGAGGATCCTGGCGCCTGGGAGTGTGCTTGCCTGCAAAGAGGTGGCACCCATGTGGCACAGTTAACCCTCCACCAGTGGAGGATGAGTCCTTAGATAAGTGCCCGAGCCTCCAGGTCTGTCAGTGGTGGGGAATTCTGAGGTATGTTTTCACATAGTTTCTCAGCAGGTTTAAGAATGGTTGTAATTTGGAAGGCATTGTTTCATGTTTCTTTTAAAGCAAACTTGTCATTGATATTTATATTCAAGCATCAGGAAATTCAGGCTATGATATATCCAAAAAAAAAAAGAATCAGAGCTTCTTGTTTCTTGTTGGGAGCTTTATTACTGTGAAAAAAAGAATCTCTCTTGATTGGACTGAAAGATCTTCGTTTGGATCTCTCAAGAGAGGACCTTGAGACAGCACTTTGCGGGGACAGGAAGAGTGTCTGAAAAGGTTGGATTAGAGGAAAACAGGGAAAGACTGTAATCTTTTTGCATCACTAAATGTTTTACATGTTACATACGTCAATTTAGTAATTTAAAAATATCTAATAAAGGAAAGTAAATAAATAAATAAACAAACATTACTTGCCAGACATATCTATGAATGTTCCACCAACATCTCAGACTCATCTCTAAAACCTAGTCAGCATTATCCAAACACACTCTCCCCACCCTCACCCACTCCAGCTCTTTCTTCCAGTTGCTTTTTGGTGGGTTTTTTTTCCCCATGGTACTACCATTGACCAGCCTAAAAATTCCAGTCATATTTTACTTTCCCATATTACTGCACCTGACAATTCATATCAATTTTTTCCAATGTATTATATCAGTGCTTTCATGTTCTCTAATTTACACTGTATCCAAATTCAGGTCTCAAGACTGCCCTTTATGCCTACACCATTGATTAGCAACCAATTATTCCCCAATGTATATGATATTCACATTGACTATATTCTCTGGTCCTTTAAGGCATATTATTTCTCTCCTTGTAAATTATAAGCTGTTTGAGAGTAAGACCCACATTTTATATATCTTTGAATTTGCCAGAGGACCTACCACATTGTTTTGCATGGATTCATGCATCAACCTAAATTTATAGAAATACCCATATTTATCTCAGTTTATGACATCAAATCATGTAAGGGCCATTTAAAAAATACTGATTGACCTCCTGCTGTTTGCCCAGTAGCGTAACAGGTGTTGGAGATATAATGGTGAACAGCAATTAAACACACATGTGTTCTTCTTTCATATTCCAGAAAGGAAGACAGAATGAAAAGGTACATGCAGATGTGATTATAAATTAAAGAGCTCTGAAGAGAATGAACAGGATCATGGGCCAGAGACCAAGAATATGATGACCTACTTCAACTGGATGAGCAGGAGTGTCCTCTGTGAGGACGAGGCCTTTAAGCTGAGACTGAAGAAAGAGAATTGTGAAAAGTCACAGGTTATGTGTTCAGACAGATGGAACAATACGAGCAAAGACTCGAGGGTGAGAAAACCCTCAATGTACCTAAGGAAATTAAGGAAGGTCAATGTGACTAAAGCAAAGTGATCCTGAAGTACCTGGCCAATGGAGAGCACACAAAGAAGTCAGAGACCAGGTCCTGGGATCCTTGTAGACCACGTTAAGTCTGGTTTGTACTGGAAGAGCAATGGGAAAAATTATTTATAGGACTGAAGCAAGGGAGTGGCATATATGATTTGATTTAGAATTTTAAAAGTTCACTTCAGTGTCTATGTAGAAACTGATGGTGTGGAGTAGGAGCAAATAGAGAGGCCAGGCAGCAGATTATTGAGTAGCCCAAATGAGATTACCGCAGTTTGGAAAAGGGTTATAGCAGGGCAGAAGAAGATAAACAGATGGGCTTGAGGTATGTTCCACAGGTCAAATTGCTGTAACTTAATGATTAATGGATTATATGTGGGGAATAGAGAGAGGGAGGAATCTTGGATTATTTTCCAAATTTCTGGACTGAATAACTGGGCAGATAGAGTGTTAACTTTCTCAAAAGAAAGACATTGGATGGAGGACTAGTTTAGATGCAGGATAAGAGAGTCAGAACTCAGTTTTTTAGATATGTTATGTGCACAATGCGTACTAGGTATCCAGGCAGAGACGACAGGTAGGCAGTAAAACATAGGACCCTGGAGCTCAGAAGAGAGCACCAGGCTGGAGACATGAACTGGGAGGGGACTCGTGTGGTATTTAATGGTATTATTTAGCTGTTATTTAAAGACATAGGAAATGGGTTAGAGCTCCCAAAGAGAGATATGTTCCAGAACAGAGCCCTGGAACTTTCCAACACTATGTTGGAGGGAAAGAAGTCTGCAAGGAGACTCAGAATGGCCAGATAGAAAGGGGGGGCAGGGAGCTAAAAAAATACTATCACAAAAAGAGAGACTTTTGAGAAGGGGAAATGTTCCATCTTGATAACAACTGAGAAGTTGGGTGAACTCATATTAGGATTCTCTTTACTGGGAGGATCCTTCTTACCAAGGATAGAAAGGGCTTGTATTTTGTCTTTTACTCTTCCTTGAGTCCCTAAAGCAGCTCCTGGCACACAGTAGGCACTTTGATACATATTAATCAAATAACACATTAATTGAAAGTGAACATTTAGGTTCAGTTGAGGGTTATGGACAGGCATAAGTAGTTTTGAAAAGTCTTCATTTTGTCCCCCTTCTATGTACCCCCTTCCTACCTCATTCTAACACTTTCCTACAAAAGCATTGATTAGAGAGAGAGCAGTTTCTACAGGCTTTGTCAAAACAAAATTAAACACCCTTTATTTCTGCTGCCTTAGGAAAAGTGAACTCTTCTCTAAGGCCTGGAGGAAGGAAACTTGGGACTAACATAGTATGTGAAGTTGTAAAGGGTGGTTGTTTCTTGAAAAGGGGTAAAATCATAACTATAACCACAATATAGAAATAAGGTCCTGCCCCGTTAACGCTCTACTGGCTGCTACTCACCTTAACTATGCTATGAAAAGAGTTGTGTTGAGTAGATTTCATCACATAAGGTTTCCGTGAAGGGAGAGAAAGAAAAAAGTATGGGCTCAGATCTGTGGCTCCAACATTGCCAGAGTCTGGAGAGTGTGCAAGTGCTTTGATACGACTGCTTCCTGGGCCTCAACTGGAAATGTGGCTTGTTTCAGAATGATGTCAATGTGAGCTAGTTGCAGAAGTGCGTTGAAAGCAGCATGCAGGTCTACTCAGAAAGAAAGAACCTCCGAGTGAAGGAAACAAACCAGGAGGACCATTCACCATGGGCCCTGTTAGTCATTTCATTTCAATTTTACAATAGATTTATCACACACCATTTTTTGCCTTTTACTTTATTGCAAATAATAAGAGAGGATTCCTAGTCTTCTTGCTTTGTCTGTTGACAAAAGAGTAAAATTTATTGGGTTTTGTTTAGCTAGACTATTCTACCGTTCTACAAACATCTCAAACCTCACGTCTAAAACTAAATTCATCATTGCCCCACGCGTGTGCCCATTCCTGGGCATACACACATGTGTAACCTTGTTCCCCCTGTGTACTTTTTTCTCTATGAATTTGCATCATGTGCTCAAATCCCATACTGAGGACTTGAGCACATCCCAACTCCTTCATCTCAGCTCCGTATTTGTATTTACCAATACTATCGCCAAGTTCTCTTAGGTTCTGCCTCTCATATCTCTTGACTCTATTTTTTCCTCTGTTCCTCCTTTGCTGCCTCCTAGTTCAGGCCACCATCATCTTACTACTTGTTATTTACTACAGGAGCCTCCAAAATTAGGTTTTCTGTGTCCAATCTTTTCTTCACACTTCTAAAACACGCAGCTGACCAAGACAAACCTTTCCTATCAGCCCCAGCAGAGGTGAAATTTTCTAATCTGGCTTAGGAGCTTCACGGTGTGGCCCTGCTTCTCTAGTGATCCTCATATCACACCAACCTGTGTGTGGACAACTAAATGCTCCCCCAGCTCCTCTACCTGGCCCTGCTGGAGCCCACCCTCGATCCTCCTCTCAGACTGCTTAGCCAACTCAACCCTCCCTGCCCTTCCAATCTCTAAGTGTCCCTTAAACACCCAGACTTTTCTCTAGTAAGTAAAAGTTTATCTACCACTTGACTGAAAATTTTCCTGAAGGTTTATCTTGCCTTGCTCACCGTGGTCATGGGTCTTGCAACTTGCTGGCTTAATGCACATGCTGATTAAATGATCAAGTATTTTAGGGATGTGTCTGCCATTACAATTTAAGATGTGCTAGTTCGGTATGTGTGGTTTTAGTGTGCAGGGGCACTCGGGGGCCAGCACACACACACACACACACACACACACACACGGGATGAACCCTTTTTCTTTCTTTGTATTTTCACACAGCATCTAGTAATTAATAACTAGGCCAGCATCTCCTGCAAATATCAGCCAGATCATCTACGGCTGTGTCTCTGGTTGCTGGAGGAAGAAACCTGAGGCACATCTGGACTGCACTGGAATGGGAGTCTAACCCAGTTCGGATGCCTTGTGCTGTGGGTCCCCAGCCATCCTGAGGCCTCTCATGGTGGCTGCCTCTTGACCTCACACGGGGTATCTGACGACTACCGGGCGGGTGCGTGGAAAGGGGGAGCAGCAAGAACTGGGGTCTTGGTTCAAGTGAGGCAAGTCACAGGGCTTTCCAAAGCCAGCATCGCTGTTGAACTCCTAACAGCCCGAGCCTCAGTTCAGGCCGAGAGGCTGCTGATCCCCTGGGTCCTGCCCTAGGCACCCAGAACTTAAAGAGGAAGCTGGGGGAAAGGGAGTGGGCACCCAAGCTCGCAGCGCGCAGGGCTCGCCTCGAGGTGAGTAACCGCGCCGCCTTCGTGCCCTAAGCTCAGGCGCCTGCAGGAGCTCCTTTTGTTTTACATCTGCGGCCCTCTGGTTCTTCTTAAGGCCCCCCGAAAGCAGATAACGCGCCTATCAACTCAAGATCTGAACCACTCCCCGCGGCGCCGGGCGCCCGGGTCTGGGGCAGGCCGCGAACCCTCGGCGTTCGTAGTGGGGTGCCCGCGGTGGGATTGGGGCCACGCCAATCCGCACTCAGGCCCGACCGCGGTTGCGTGGGGAGCCCGCGCTCCTTCCAGCTCCGCTCGGGCAGAGCCCCGGAGCCCCGCGTCCTGCGCTCGGAGGGGGCGGG